CCGCTGGCGAGCTAAGTAAACATTTGAAGCCATGCCTGCGTCGCGCCCCTGCCCTGAAACCCAGCCCCTAGCGCCTTCTCCACAGCGCACGCGCGGCCTAGGCCCAGCCTCGCTTCGGTCTTCGCGAGCGCGCGGGGGGCGGGGTGAGGGGAACATCTGCGCCTGCGCAGCTCGAACCGCCGCTCCAGCGGCGTTCTTGTTGCTATGTCCTTGCGTGGTTGAGCAATCCGCCTCCGTCTCACTGCGCTTCTGCGCGCTCTCAGCTTTTGGACCAGTTTATGAAGCATGAACCAGATAACGCCGCACTTCACAGCTCCTGTTAAGAACCCTTAAAACAAGTTATGGCAAAACAGCAGACCGCCGGCGAACCTGCCTTATGGAAGGGTTCTTGAAAGGATGTTTCACCCAACAGTTATGCAGATAAGAGTTGTTGGAGTCAGAGTAGGAGAAAGACCTCTGTTTGAAGAAGTCATGGCTTGCCAGGTATCAGAATCTACTATTCCGGTCTGTCTAGGCCCGCATTGTTGTTTTGTTTTGTTTTCAAGTTAACTCCTCTTTCATGATTTGCCTTAGGTAACACTGCCTCTTTCCCCCTGAATGGGAGGCCAACCTAGTCTTCTCTTGTCTGGCTTCCTCAATACCGTGAGTTTTAGAGAGCTGGGATGGTGGCCTGTTCTCAAGCATGGTAACCAACAGCAAAGAAAGAAAGAGCCTTGCCTGCGACGAGAGGATCCAAGGACCGGCTTCCAGGTGCTTCCCTGTATGTACTAAATGTCATTGAATTATTCCATCAGAACTAACCACTATTAGTGGACATTTGCTGCCAAGCTAACACTTTCTCCTCCCTTGCTTTTATTTCTGGGTATTCCAGTCCCCATTTTTCCTTAAGCCTTTTTTTTTTTTTTAAGTTTTTTCTGCGGAGGCCTGCAGGATAGGCACCGAGGAGTGGATTATGTAGCTTTAACTTCATATAAAAAATATTCAAAGTAGACTCAATGCAATTTCAGAATGATGTACCTTAATGGTGCTGAGTGGTCCAAAATAATTTGCACCCCATGGTTCATTCCTTTAGTTCTGTCACCAGTTGGCAAAGGTTCGTTTGACTGTATTCTTGTAGGCAGGGAGCAGGTGAGGGGTTGGTCCATTGCAGCATTTGTTTCTCTTGATGTTAAGCAGCAGAAGCAACAGCAAGTGGCACCTTCTAGTGTTGCAGTCCTCAGAATTTAACCCTGTAAGTGTTAAGTTTGTAAATCCAGAGAGCTGAGTTTCTCAACTGGCAGCTGCCCTTTGACCCAGGGTGAGACCTTTAGCCCTGAAGACCTAACAGCCCTCTGGAACTCTTGTAAGCAGGGCCTACTCCTTCTCTTCTCTGGCTCTTACATTTTATTCTTTACTCTGGTCCTCCCTTTTTCTACTTTCACTGCCTTTCTTCTTCCTGTTTGATATGTTTTGAACTTTTCAGCTGCTTTGGCTGTGACTTACCTGGCTATCTATCCCCTTCAATGACTCAGTCACCATCTGGACCACTAGAGCTTCGTACCTCTGCCACCTTATTAGACACAGGGTACCTGGCACTGCTGCTGGGGTCATTTTGCAACCACTACTTCTGTCTCTGCTTTTTCCCTGTGTGTCACCATCTTACCCTGCACTGCTGAAAGTCATCAAGGCCGCTTGAGAGCAGTTGTATGGGGGAATTAACACACTGCAGCATTTCTGACTCACTAACTCACTGAGTGGGCCTGAATGTCCTTCTTACACAGCCTGAGAACTATGTCCTCCAATTACAACCAGTTATCTGGACAAACCACACCTGCTTGTTTTAAATAATGAATACCCATCACTTTAGGACAATCATAGATTTGTTTCTTAGCTCCCTGTCTGGTCATGGTGGGAATGATTGTAGGACTGATCACTGAGACTTGAAGTCACAAAAAATTTGATATAAACTATTTCAAACAGCCCTGGCTGGTGCTGTGCCCCCAAGAACCAGTGCAATCTGCTACAGTCTTTGCATAATTGAGTCAAGGGGTCCATGGGCTATTCAAGATGGCCAGTCAACGCTGGCATGACAGTAGTCCTGTTGGTTATAAAACAGACAGTTATTTTGATCAAGGGAGCCAAATTGCCCCATTCACAATATTTATTTTAATTTTTAGGAAAATGACCATCAGAAGGAATATCTTAGATATAAACTTAATGAACATATTGTACATGTAGTGTAGTGGGTTTCTGTATCTGTCTTATCTGTCTTAGTCCCAGCTATTCAGGGTTAGGAAGAAGATATCATTTGAGTTCAGGAGTTGAAGTCCAGCCAGGGTAACATAGTCAGACCTTGGTCCTTTTTCTTTTTCTTTTTTTTTTTTTTTTTTTTTTTTTTTTTTTTTTTTTTTTTTTTTTTTGAGTCAGGATCTCACTGTGTTGCTCTGGATAGCCTTGAATGCAGAGATCCACCTGTCTCTGCCTCCTAAGTGCTGGGATTAAAGGTGTACATCACCATCCTCAGCTAATTTTTTAAATTTATTGTGTAAATCAGCAAGTCAGGTTTTACAGTTCTCTGGTTTTTTGTTGTTGTTTGCTTTTTGTTTTGGGGGACTAAAGGCGTGTGCCTCCACTACCCCCCCCCCTTGCTTTTTTTTTTTAAATTGTAGCTGTTGTTTGATGGTTTTTTTTTTTTCCCTTCCTATCTCAGGAATTAAGATAGGCTGGGCCTTAATCAACTTGTGAGCTGTAATTATATTTCCTCTCTCCTACTTTTGTCTTCTTTTTCTCCTGCTCGTACAAACTTACCAGTGGAAGATCTTATTACAGCTTCCCAGGAGATGTAGATTTAATCTAGATGTTAGATTGTAATCATTGAATTGTAGAGGTCTCTTTATTGGCCCTGTGCCATTAGTTTTAATATAGAGACAACTTAAGGTGAGCAGAATCATCCGGTCACTTGTCAGGGCTCATTTGCAGGGTCTGACTGAACAGAACCACAATGCAGCATAAGCCTTCAGTCACATATGGTTTGGTGCTGCTGCCTGGAACGGAGTTGACAGTGGCTGGCACAGACAATTAATTATATCTGAGTAGTTAAGAAGATAGCTGCTCCCACAACAAGAGTGTTTGAGCAGTAGCATTTCAATGAAAGTGTAATTGTTCAAGATGCTGGTGACTCTACAATGGCTGCAATTCTGGTCATTTCCTCAAACCAGAGGAGAAGACCAGGAACTCTTGGCATGGTGTATTCCTTTTCATTTTAATTTTTGAAAAGGATGTATTTATTTCTTTCATTTATTTGTATGTGTATGAGCCTGCATTAGTGTACATGTACTACATGTGTTCAGGAGCCTGTGGAGACCAGAAGAGTGTGTCAAAAGTTAGATCCCCTGGACCTGGGGATACAGATGGCTGTGAGCTGCTACATGGGTGCTGAGAACCAAACCTAGGTCCCCCAAAGAGCAGTAAGAGCACTTAACTACTGGCCCATTTCTTTTTTGTTAGGGCAGTTATATAGAGATAATGCTTGTAATGCCAAATTGCTCTATCTGAAGTAGCATCATAGATCTATATAGATGCTAAATAACTTGTCACTGTTCTGCTTTCTGTATGCTGTATACAGAACATTTCCCAGACAGTGTCACTGGGATTTAGAGATGCTCAGAAGCCAGAAAAGATGCCACCTTTAGACAAACATCACATCATTGGGTAGCTAGAATATACTTTTGTTTTTCTTGATGGGTACTCAAAATTTCTGAGTCTTTGTAACTAATTCCCAACTAATACTTTTCTTCTTTTTTCTAAAAAGTATTTTGAATGCTTTAGAACCAAGTTCAAAACCTACTTGAGTTTTGTTTGTGTATACAAATAGTTTTTCTTTCCTTTAGTGCATTTAATTATACAATAAAGTGATTTAGTGGGCTTGTGTTCTGGCTAGTTTTATGTCAGCTTGACAACAGGTGCAGTCATTTGGAAAAGAAACCTCAATTAAGAACGTGGATTGGCTTAAGGACAAGCCTATGATGCATTTTCTTTTGGGGGACTGGGGTGGAGAGTGAGACAGGCTCTCCCAACATAGTTCTGGCAACTCTCCTCAAACTCAGGATGTATAGACCAGGCTGGCATCGAAGTCACAGAGATCCTCCTGCCTCTGCCTCCCAAGTTCTGGAATTAAAGATGTACACCACTGTTTTAGAAATAGAGCAAAGGATTACCAGCTTACAATCCACACTGCCAGAGAAGCTAGGAAACAAGGAGGACCTTAAGAGAGACAATACATGGTCCCCCAGAGAAGGGGAAGGGAACAAGATCTCCAGAGCTAGTTGGGAGCAAGAGGGGAGGGGAGAGGGAGTTAGGAGAAAAAGAAGGAGGGAAGAGGAGGGGAGAGGAGGACATGAGGGAGCAGGAAGATTGAGTCAGGGGAAGAATAGAAGAGAGCAAGAAAAGAGATACCTTAATAGAGGAAGCTATTATAGGTTTAAAGAGAAATCTGGCACTAGGGAAATGTCCAGCAATCTACAAGGATGACCCCAACTAACAATCTAAGCAATAGTGGAGAGGCTACCTTAAATACCCTTCCCCGATAATGAGGTTGATGACTACCTTATATGCCATTCTAGAATCTTCATCCAGTTGCTGATGGAAGCAGAAGCTCACACCCACAGCTAAACACTGAGCTGAACTTCTGGAATCCAGTTGCAGAGAGGAAGGAGTGATGAGCAAAGGGGTCAAGACCAGGCTGGTGAAACCCACAAAAACAGCTGACCTGAACAAGGGGGAGCTCATGGACCCCAGACTGATAGCTGGGAAACCAGTATAGGACTGATCCAGACCCCCTGAATGTGAGTGTCAGTTAGGAGGCCTGGGCAGTCTATGGGGCCTCTGGTAGTGGATCATTATTTACCCCTAGTATACGAATGGACTTTGGGAACCCATTCCACATAGAAGGATACTCTCAGCCTAGACACACAGGGGAGGGGCTAGGCCCTGCTCCAAATGATATGACAGACTTTGAAGATCCCCCATGGAAGGTTTCACCCTTCCTGGGAAGCAGAGAGGGGATGGGATAGGGGGTCAGTGTGGAGCAGGGAAGAAGGGGAGGGAGAGGGAGCTGGGTTTCTGCCCTGTTTGAGGTCTTGCCCTGGACTTCCTTCAATGATGAACTATACTGTAGAACTGTAAGTGAATTAAACCTTTTCCTCTCAAAGTTGATTTTGGTCATTGTGCCAGCAATACAAGCCCTAACTGAGGCAGCTTGGTAAATCTCAAAATAATTAAACTAAAGCCTTTAAAAAAAACTCTCAATTTTTTAAATTTGTTATTTCTTTCAGATTTATTTTGTTTGTATGAGTGTTTTGCCTGAATGAATGCATGTACACCATGTGCATGCTTGGTACCCATGGAAGTCATAAAAGGGTGTCAGATCGTTTGGAACTGAAGTTACAGATGGTTGTGAACCACCATGTGGAAGCTGGTAACCAAACCCCAACCCTCTATGAGAGCAATAAGTGCTTTTAACCACAGAGCCATCTCTCAGCCCCATAAACTTTTAATTTTAAAGAATAGTTCCGAGCCGGTGGCGCACGCCTTTAATCCCAGCACTCGGGAGGCAGAAGCAGGCGGATCTCTGTGAGTTCAAGGCCAGCCTGGTCTCCAGATCGAGTGCCAGGATAGGCTTCCAAAGCTACACAGAGAAACCCTGTCTCCAAAACCCACCCCCCCAAAAAAAAGAATAGTTCCTCACAGAAAAGTTACAAAATACAGTTCCATATACAATTTAACCAGTTTTCTCTAATGTTAACACTTTTTATAACCACCACACATTTATCAAAAAATATTTTTAATCAGCTGAGCATGATGGCACACCTGCACTCCAAACACTTGGGAGACAGAAGTATGAAGATCAGCTCAGCATCAGCCTGAACTACATGAGATTCTGTCTGGGAAAAAAATAATTAAAAATGAATTTAATATTGGTGTATTGCTGTTGACTAAACTGTAGAAATCTTCAAACCCCATTAGTAGTCCACTAATGTTCTTTTACTGTTCTATTATCAACCCAGGAAACCACATTTAATCTTATGAGATGTTTTAAAGGTTGTTCAGTAGTGTAGGGAAGTGTGTAAGACAAAATTATTTTCCATTCTGTTGCAAACAGGACAAAGTGCACAAGAAGAATGCAGTGCATGGCAGAGTCCCTTGACTCATGTAGCCACTGGTTGACAGACTTACTTGCTAAGTAGTCTAGGTTGGCCTTGAACTGCTGATATTCCTACCTCCTCTTCCCAGCACTGGCCCTTCTTGGACTCCTGTGTCTTGGTTCCAATATTGTGTTTATGATCTATTTCTATAAATCATAGTTTGTCATGTGTTCACACAGTTTGTCATATGTTCACACAGCCTTGCCTTCTCCTGCTCCCCCCATCTTTATTCTAATTGTGGACCTCTAGAGAGTCCTTTAAATTTCTCTAGTCCTGTAGAATAGTGGCTCAATTCAATTGCTAACTTCTGCCTCTAAACTCCATTGTGCCTTTCAGTGGGAGGCTTAGAGGTTTTCATATCCTCATTCCTACTAGGCAGAAAGGAAATGAAAGTTATAGTAAGGTTTGAAATTTATAATCATTGATCATTTAAAGGAGTGTGGGGGAGGGTTGCTGGTGGGATGGCTCAGTGATAACCTGATAGCCTAAATTTGATCTCTGGGACCCAGTTGTCTTCTGACTTCCACACATGTGTTGTGGCACTTGAGCCCCCTCCCCAAATAAATAAATAAATGTAGTAATGATGATGATGATGTTGACAAAAGAGTTCCTGGTACTGTGGAAGAACTGAGCAAGTATAGCTTTTAATGTCACTGTGCCCAGAAAGAGTAGGTGTATCAGTCTACAAACTAGTCAGCCAGAAAGCAACATAGACTCAGTGTTAAAGCAAAGAACTATGTAAAAAGATTTCACTTTATTAGGCACAGAGAGTTATAAAGAAGACACTTCTTTTGATGAAAGAAATATAAAACTTGAGACTGGAATTTTTGTAATTTATTTTTTATATTCTAATCCCAGTTCCCCCTCCCTCCTCTCCTCCCCCGTCCCCTCCAACCACTCCCCCCACTCTCCCTGTCTTCCCATCTGCTTCTTGGAGAGGGTGAAGCCTCCCCTAGGAAGTCTTCTAAGTCTGTCCCACCAAGGCACCTCTCTACCCCCACACCCCTGTGTCTAGCCTGGGCAAGGTATCTCAGGTTTCTCTCCATATAGAATGGGCTCCACTAAGTCAGTTTGTGCACTAGTGTTAGATCTTGGACCAGTCACACCATTGTCATTTATATTAAGTGAGTCTTATGCAGGTTGCCCATTTGTCAGACCTGAGACTGGAATTTTAAAAAACAAAGAAAATAAAATTTTTCATAGCTGAACATCACATAGAACAAAGTCAATCTAATTGTTCTGTATGGGTCCAGTTTTATTTCTTCTACTTGTGTTGGAATTAGTAGAGGAAATGTTCTAATTTGTAGATGCTAATTTTATATCATCACAAATATTAAAGCTTCTAAAGAAATAGGGTTTATTGTATAAGTAATTTTGCAGTGATATAAGTTGGCAGTTGTATAGTATTTTGCACTTTTTGAAGAACTTTCAGTCATGTGACCGTGAGTTAAAAAAGGGGGGGGGCATAAAAATTATGATCCACATCTTGATGATCTGGAAACCAAGGCTAAAAAGAAGAATATCAGAAAAGAATCCACACAGGAAGTGACGTAGCACTATCAGAGACATGCAGGACTTCCCCAGGTAAGAGGCTAGGACAGAGCATTGTGATTGAAAGAGGTAACATCCTGTAGAGGGTCAGAGTCTTCCATGTGTGGCAGGTGGGGAAGGAACCTTAGTGGGAGCAGCCATACACACCAGTGAACACATCTGCACTGTATTCCTCCACAGTGGGTTAGTTTTTAACAAAACGAGTAACATGAGATCTTAGTTTGGATGATACTGTGACAGGAGAATAGAACACAAATGGGAAAGATCCTTAGTTGGTATGGGCATGATAAGGATATGGGCATGGGTATGGGAGTGTTCTAACCCTGTTGGTAAAGAGCTCTCACGCCTCAGTGTGGTAAGAGTGATCAAGAGCAGACAGCCAGGTTAGCAACAGCAGCATGATATTACACATGACAAAAGCATGGGTTGAAATGCATGGATCCTGAAATGCATGAAAACCACTGGATCCTGACTGGATTCGTCACACATGCAGGCTTTCTCAGAACATTACTATTTAAGTCTCTTTGGCTTACATTATTCAGAGGACTTCTACATTTTAATGTCTCTCTAGACAGCAGAGCCTCTGAAGGCTTCAGCATCGTTTTCAAGTTTAAGATTGTATTATATGGAAGGCTATATCTTGAAATTAGGTGAGAAGCAGGATGAACCAGTTTGCTTCTCTGTCTGCCATCCTACGGAGAATCGGGTTCCTGCCATGGAGAACACAAAGTGTAACTGTGTCTAGGACTTTGAACTGGGTGGACAAAGTGCTTTGTTTTAAGGCTACAGAACAGGATGGCCTTAGGATCTGAACTTCTGTGTCTGCAGACAGAGGTCTGGAGAATAGCCTGCCCTCCTGATTCCGACTCTAGAATTTCTATTAGACTCACCATGATCATTGGCGTGGTGTGACAGCATTTACTAAGAATAGACCACCAAAAGTGATCACTTTCCATGTTGGCACAAAATGGAAACTAACTAGGAAAATACAAATACCAATGACAGAATACAGTGGAAGTTTGTATGTAGCTTCATTAGACAGCAGAAGAAAATACTCCACATACTAGCTGGATTTCTAGAAAACTAATTATAAATATAATTAGATTTAATTATAAATGTATATTAGGAGATGACCATTTAAAGGAACCATCAAGGTAACCTGCTCTGATCATTTGTTGTGTTTTGTAACTTTGTGCTGTTACACTTTAAGCTTTTGCTTTGTTTTGTGGTGTTCAAGGTGTGGTGTAGCACAGAGCATGGCTGTGCTAGGCATATGCTCTATACCTGAAGCTCACAAGTTTGAGGCAGGATTCCAGTGTGGCCTGGAACACAATTTTCTGATTTAGTTTGTGGAGCTCTGTGATTACAGCATTGATACCACACTTGGCAGCCTCCCCCAAGTCTCTCTTTAAGTAATAATCATTTGTAATTTTCTTATACGCTAAAAAAATAGTCTTTACTTTGTTAAGAAGTTTGTTTGGTTTGTGTTATTTTCCCTTTGTGGGAAAGCAAGGGTTTTCATTCTTTTTATTTAAGCATCTCTGGGTTCTTGTTTCTCTTCACTGTTGTTTTTAAACTCTTAACATGACCTTGACTTGATGATCAAGGCAGATGAGCATCTTTATGATGAACCCTAGAAGAGTAAGGAAAGGTTGGAGCACCCTACCACCCACCTGTGGGGATTATCTGTGTCTGTCTATCTGTCCATCCATCCATCTGTCCATCATCTGTCTATTGTACTGTATTGTCACTTAAACCCTGAAATGCCATCATAGGCTAACAGCTCCATGTTTTAAAATAGAGACACTCTGGAGGATTATTACATTAAATGGTCTATTTCAATATGACAGGAAATCATCTGATTGTCTTTTTCTGGCAGTGAGACTAATGCAAGTTTTCACGTGAGTGTACAAAGATAATCCTAGATA